GCATTCTTTGAGATAGAATGTATATCATCCTGAAAGGGCATAAAACGCTGTTTTCGAATCTGTCTCCCTTATTTGCGGAGCGCTTTTGGACCAGGAGTTATGAGCATTGAAGGGGTAAAAAATTTAAGGTGGAATTAGGGTAAAGAGCCGTAGCCTTTTTCCTAGTGCTAAAATGGAGCAGTGATAGTTATCAGAGCGCTTTAGGCAATAACTTTTGAATAAAATTTTCTCACACTCCGATACCTCATTTGAGCGCTGGGAAAATTTCAGCAAGTGATTTGTTTTTCTAGAAAATCACTGAATTTTTTGCTCCTATAAACGCTCATAACTCCTCGTTTATGAACGCTCCGCAAATATGGAAATGCATGCATTGGCTATATACACTTTGGCACGGAGAAGGAATGTGCGTGGGATAAAACTTGGTGGAAGGATACTTAGGTAATTTGGCCAGGAAACCAAGAGTCTGGGCCCATCATGGGAACATAGAGGCCGGTGAGAGCGGAAGAAGCTGGAGCTGTGTGAGAGGAGACCTACTTGAGATCTATCTAAGAAGAGTCTTACTTGAGAGAGAATTTTGGTGGAACTTTGCTCAATTTGGCCATGAAAGGATTTGGAGAAGGAATTAAAGGCAGTGTCCAGGCAAATCTGGGCATATGGGTCCTTTGCCTGGAAACTGTCGGGGAGGCTTTAGCCAAGGCACTGCCCAACCGCAATGCAAATAATTCATTCACGGCTGAGAAATCCATCCACAAACACTCGGCGGCTGCGCCGTGACCGTAACATTTAGGATTGGTCCCAGCGCGAACGTAGTGTTAAAGTAAGCGAAGTCGTTTTTGGGTTACGGTCACGGCGCAGGCGCGGGGTTTTCGGGAACGGATATCTCAGTCGTGAGTGAACAATTTGCGCTGCCCCTTGGGCCGTGCGTTAGTTAGGACTCTCTCATCAATATACAGGCAAAAGTGCCATGCGACCAGATTTGCCTGGACACTGCCTTTAAGGTGCCTTCGCATGCATTGGCTATAGGAGGGAGGAGGAGTGCGAACGTAGAGTCAGGCTCCCATTCAAGTAAGGGTCAGGAAATGCGCAAAGAAGAGTCTGGAATTTAACATTGGAGCACCGATGAAATAAAATAGAGGGAAAGAGGGAGAAGAAAAAGAGTGGGCGTTGTGACAGGGCTCCTGCTTAGCACAGATTCCTGGGAGAAAATTTGGGCATCCTGGCCTCGAAAGATTCGGAGGAATGACTTTTAGTGCTTTCGCTTGCATCGACTGCATCAGCTTTGGGTAGGTAAAAGGAGTGTGCACCGTGGAATCAGCGCTCCCATGCAAGAAAGGGTCAGGAGACCCAGAAGATTTTGGGTTGCAACATGGGGACTGTGAAGTAAGTTAGAAGAGAGGGTGAGAGAGAAAGAAAGAAAGAGAAAGAGAAAGAGAGGAGATAGTGTGGCACGCGCCTACTTAGCAGAGTTCTGGGGAAACTTTGGGCATCCTCCATGAAAGGATTGGGATTGAAGAGGGAACCATGATGCGTTCCATGGATTGGCTACAGCAGCTTTGGCAGGTAGAAGGAGTGGGCACCATGATAATCAGCTCCCCATATGAAAAGGTTCTGGAGGGGAAACATTTTGGGACTTAGGCAGCAAAATCAGGGAGAAAGTGTGGGCTTTGAAGGCAGTATCCGGGCAAAAACTCGATTTCTAGAAAGTTCACTTGCAGGAGCTTCCGCAACGCTGAAATCGAAAATTCACATTAGAAAGCGGGAAATGGCGAGAACATGCGTTTTCCAAAGCCTTACATTTTGGATTTCGACTGTCCCCGCCAGGCAGAGAAGAGTCGCTGAGGGACGCTATGATTTTAACTGTGGCTGCGTGCGTCAGGTGGAGGACTCCGTCCCAGAGCGTAAGTTTACTCACTTATCAATGGTTTTTATTATCTTAGGTCGAACGTTATAACCTCGCGTTTGCGCGATGCTGTGTCTAAGGGTACTCACTTTCGCTTGGCACTGAAATCCCGTAACCCCCACCTTGTCCGAACACCGCCTCTAACATGCGAATTCTAAAGTAATAAGTTAGAACGGAGAGGGAGAGGGGAAGAATGGGGCCGTGTGAATTCAGGGCACTTACCCAGGAGGAATCTATAATAAAATTTTTTTTAAGCATTTTTCCATACTTTGGCCATAAAAACATTTCTGGAATGGACTGCACTGTTCTTGATAAAAAATTGGAGCACTGTCCACTGCCTAAGTGCATCATCTTATGCAACCCCCGAATCCGCTGCGCTCCTTGGCATACCCACAAGGGCTCTTGGTTCACTAGTAACAAAAAAGCAAAAAGAAAACATTTCGAGTCGATTAAAGGTTCTGCCATTGGGTATAGTACCATTTTGATGCTGGGAATGTCGAAAATCTCCTATGCCAACCAAATCTGTAGTCTCAACAATCCTGCAATGCATTTTTCGCCACATGTTTCAAAGGACACCACAAGTGATTGGAGCGCGATATCTATCAACGCGTAGAATTATACTACTTTTGACTCAAAAAAAAGGAGAGAGGCAACGGTTTGATCCGCTCTCTTCACTATATGATAGATTTTTGACCGTTCTAATCGTCCAAATCAAAAAGGTCCAAAACTTATGTGAACTCTCCGATATTTATGCTCCGAACCAACCCAGTTGGTTTGGTAGTTGGTCTAGAAACCAACAAATTCGAGAACGGATATTAGGACACATAAGTTCTGGGAACTTTTTACATAACATAGCTTGGAGTAATATTGTATACACATAGCCCAAATTCGGAGCCATGTGATTGTTTGTGCGCTGTAAACAACCCATTTGTTTGTTTGAGTCTTGCGTTTGAAATTCGCGCGCTTGCGGAAGAACACGTTCAACTCCTCAGATACTTTTTCCGGCTGGTGACCGGGCGATGACCGGCTGAGGCAACACCTCAATTCCGGGCGAGCCGGCCACCGGCCGCCCGCCAGCCGGTGTTGGCACGCAAACGGCGCGGACGCCAGCCGGCTTCCCAGCGCAGCGGATTATTGGGGCACGACCCGCCAGGTTCAGCTTCGTTGACTATATTATTATTCTATCATATGTTATACAAAAATCTCTTATAATATTTTGTTCGATATTTACAAGAGGGACACGAATTATGTTCAACATAGATATGTACAACATACAACATGTGTAAACACAATATAAAGAACACATTGCATTACATATGGTGCATTCTCCAAAACTGTTCCCATCGGAACTTCAACGTGGCTGTCTTTCGATCATTTCAACACTCAGCTTCGGATAAGCGCCTTATTTGCTGGAGTCAACGCGTTGAAACGATCAAAAGACAGGCACGTTTGATGGCTTATATGGGCAATTCTGGGATGCACGACACAAACAGTGAGCAAATCCGCATGTAGACTTGAGCTTAGAAACTGAAGCTAGAAGAAACGACGCCGCTCCCGAGATTCGTGACACGTATCTCACAAAAAAATAAGAAGTCAGCCGCGTGTACCTGCAAATAAAGATTTTAGGGATCTTGTGAAGATGAGAGCCAACTGCAGTAGGCTACAGCAGCATTGCGGCATTATTGAAGTTATGTTATTCTTCCGCATTAGAGATCCATATGCGCATTACATATTAACCATATATTCATTACAAGTTCCAATTCTAAAGAGGAAGATTAGACAAGAAACAAATTGCTCACCTGCTGCAGTATGCATGGACAACACCGATGAACAGACTATTCATTTCCATATGTGTCCACTTATTTTCCAGACAACCATCAATAAATAACCAACCACCAAGTTGTTAGAGCACTTAATATATAGACAATGTTCTCCGGAGCAGACAAATAAGCAGATAATCCAAGCTCAACCACAACAGAAACTCCATCATTGTCCCAAGCATTTCAACTTATGAATTAAGGCACTCCAATCTGAAAAATGTTTGAGGATATGCTGGTCGATAAAGAAGTGTCAAATTTGTACCTATGAGGGTCCTCCTTTTTCGTGGGGATGGAAGCAGACCAAATGACATAACAAAGGGAAATCACATGAAATCACTAGTAAACATTTTTGAGCACAAACAATATAACAGTTTAGTGACGACATGGAAGCTTTCCTAGTCTGCTGAAACTGAAAACAAAGATGAGCGATGAAACATGACAATACACGAACAGCATGTAAAGAAAGACACAGTACCACAAAAATAATCACGAAAAAACAAGAATCAAAAGGTCTTGTAAGGCGCGTAGTGATGACGAAATCGCATGCTCACTATTGAATCTGACGGTATTCATGATTTTGTGGACGTACAGTATTTGGCCAAACTTACATTGGCCGAAAAATAATGTGCTCCAAACAAGATTCGCACTAGAGCACCAATCTTGTTCGGAGCACCATATTTCTGGCTTATTTTTTGCCAGCTATTCTATTAAGATAAAAATGACAATTTCTTTTTTCATTTTCACACTAGAAAAGTAAAGTTTTCTCTAAAAGTTTTAAAACTGCTTTTTGTTTTGGTTTCTTATGTACCTGGGGTTATTTTTCATGCTGATTTCGAATACAGTTTGCATTTTGCGAGATCGTCGTTACTCTACTAGATTAATCTTGAGGGAACACTGTTCTCGCAACGAAAGGAAAAAATTCGAAGTTGTTATTCAGTTTGAAATTTACAGAAGAGGTTATTGATAGAGAGTAAGAAGTGAGAGGGTAATTGATCATGTCGCTGGAGATATGTTCCTTAGGCCCCGGACGGTGCAGTTGTGACACGGAGCTTTTGTGGGCATCTTCTCAGAAAACCAGATTGCAAGAAAAAATTTTCCTCTCAAAGATAACGATAACATAAACTACCGAGCGAACAACAAAAGAGCAAAACCACAGAAGAACATAAAAAATGAGAAGAGAACAAAAATGAAATAAAAAGCTAACCAAAAGGCAACTAAAAGAGGCAAAGTCGACGAATACTTACTGAGTATAGTGGAAATGGCAAAGTATTGGAAGCAGTATGCGAAGTAGGTATCATTTTGAAATCAACAAGTTGGCTAACTCCTTCCGAACAAACCGAAATGCATATCATATTCGATATCACCATGAAAAATAAGCCCAGGCAGATAAGAAATCAAAACGTAAGGCGATTTCAAGACTTCAGAAAAATCACTTTTCTAGTACTAAATAGCTATGAAAATAGTGGAAATGAAAAAAGAAACTGTCATTTTTATCTTAATAGAATTGCTGGCAAAAAATAAGCCAGAAATATGGTGCTCCGAACAAGATTGGTGCTCTAGTGCGACTCTTGTTTGGAGCACATTATTTTTCGGCCAATGTAAGTTTGGCCAAATACTGTACGTCGATTTTGTGCGCCTTCGCGCGCTTTTGCGGACGCGACCGGAAGCCAGCCGGTGGTAATTTCTAGCCCGCTCCTCGGCCGGTTTTAGGCTCCGCCCCAAAACATGGCGCGGCCCTCGGCCGGAAGGCCGTCGTCGCCCGGTCGCCAGCCGGAAAAAGTATCTGAGTCGTGAAACCTGACATGTTCGTCGTGTTTTTTGGCGCTTCCTCCAGGACCTCATAAAAACGATGTCTCCGTTGCTTCTAACTCCAAAAACGAGGTCCAGTTTGACCTCAAACCATCGGTGCCGGGCCCTGTCCCTACCTCCGGCTCTCACCAACCTGAAGTTTTTTCTCCTTCCTTTTCCTGCTTTCCTTCTTTTCTTCTTCTCAGTGTTACTCCTCCACTTAAAGTGTGTTACGTCCGTGTTAGAATTGTATTAACGCGATTCTCAATAATTTTATCCTGTAACTGCTCCGCAGGAATTTTCCTCTAATCATTTCCTTCTTTCGTAATATTACATCCGTACTTTCCTTTTCTGACCTGTTGCTAAATAGAGTGATTGTTTTCATTCTGTTTCCATTCTCTTCTATTCTATGACTCATGATCACAACACAGATAAGGCATAGAATTGCAAATGCAAATGCATAGAATTTCACAAATGACCCCATAAATGCATAGAATTTTTCGAATAAAGATATAGACAATTAGTCTTTTTATTTTAATCTGTGCTGTGATCATGTTTTCGCAAGTTTCTATTTCTAAAAAGGCTATGCTTACGTTCGTACACATGTAAACACGTGTGTGTTCGACGCTTGATGATGATAAATTGAACGCAGTCATCTCAGATGTGCTGTTCTGAAAACTTAAGCAATTTTATGATATAATGGCCATAATAGTCTTTCTCTCCCGTACAGGTTGTTATCGGTAGCGCCTCTCGTCGATCAAACGTTAAATGCTAATACTCTAGATCGTATCCTTATCTGTCATACTTTAGGTGGCAGTTCCAATGAATTTCGCTTCGACGACGATTGCCCATTCGCTAAGGAAGTCTGCGTTCATTGAAGAAGGTACTCAGCGTAAAGGTAAGAGTCTTCTTTTCTAGAATTCTTTTTCTTTCGAAAACAACAAGAGGTGTGCAATCCTTAGGCTTCGCACAGAGTTCACGCGATTTGATCGACGCGATCCAATCGCCGCGATTTTCATTCATTTCCGTTTTTCATTCAAAAATTTCGAGCTGGAAAAGTATCACGACCGAAATGCAAGCTGATCGGCATGCAGTGAACTCGTAACAGTTGTCTTGTAGCGATTGAATCGCGGCGATCAAATCGCGTGAACTCTGTCCGATACCTTACACTTGAATGATTTGTGTGCAGATTCGTAGCATGTGATGTACGTGAAGTCACTGGGCAAGATTTCTACATTCTATTTCATTTCTTTCAACATTTCTATCTCCACCACGCACATTTTTGTGGTCGGCCCAGTTTCATGGTGAGATGTACAAATTTTGGGTTAGAAGTGCACAAATCTTGGTGTCGGAAGCAAGCTGTATTTTAATTAAAGCTAATGTTTTGGGAGCAGAGTTGTATGTACTTTTTTAGGGGCTTCCGGGTCGATGGGCGGTGTTAGGGATTATATATATAGTGTGATATACTAGTCCGATGGCGTTTCTTGTTGCATTTCATATCTGTCCAAAATTTTTTGAAGCATTGATGATAGACAGAGCATCAAAATTCTTTGTTTGTGTCGCAGGATCGGCATGCGTACAAAAAGTGCTCAGCATTGTATCCCGCTCAGCATTGTATGTAATCATAATGGAATTGAAGATGCTTTTCTCGCTTTTATTACAATCGGTTCAGACGTCGCAGCTTTAGAGGAAAGTTGGGGTGGAGGAGGCCAAAGGGTCCATCCTTTGAATTTTTTCAGCTTTAGAGACTTGGACGACTACCAAATACAGATAAAGCAACAAGCTTGTCTGTTCGATACGTTGCCGTTTGATTTCCTGTTATTCTAGGATAATACCTCAACTCCACCTGTGTTCGCTGTAGCTGGTGATAACGACCCCAAAAATTATGCCTGCCGGTGAGTTCCGTTCGTTTTTATTTAGAAATTTGTTAATTTCTCTTTATACATGAAATACTTTATTTAGTCTCGTTGTGTTTTTGCTGATTTCTTTTTGTTTAGCGCGCTCCAAAAAGAGCTTAATAGGAAGTCGACCTCACTAAATGTTGGAAATAACGTGGATAACACCAGTATCATCAGCGAGTTGTCCAAGCCGATCTCAATGATGTAAGTCATCTTTTCCTCTTTCATGCTTATAATCTGCGGTAGGTAGTCAGTTTCGAAATCATACTCTCAAATTAGCCTTTTTACTCAGTGCGGGTTTTCAATCAAGTCGTGTTTGCGTTTTTTACAACTGAAAGATGGTTCTGGAAGAGTTACCACCTCCGTGATGCAACATTCGACAAGGTTCTCCTGATGACACAGAAGCAAGGTCTATCATTTATTTTTGCGAAGATGATCTACTTTCTTACTCGAAAACATTTTCTTGCACCTTTGATTTTTACATCACTTTTTTTACATCTATACTTGTATTAATGGGTCGAAGATGCACCTGAGGGAACGGCCATAAGTTGCCGGCAACGGTTGTCGAGGTTGCTGGCGTTGCCGACGTTGCTGGTTTGCCAGGGTCAAAGATGGCTTAGAAAGTGCCGAAACGTGGAGGCTATCATGTGGTCCTACAACAACCGGCAACATGGCAACCTCGGCAACCGTTGCCGACAACCTATGGCCGTTTCTTTAGGTGCATCTGCTCATCTGCATAGGCTTCTGTGTCAACAGGAGAACCTTGTCGAAGATGTGGATTCAACGCATCATCTGCATCACGTAGGTGGTAACTCTTCCAGAACCATCTTTCAGTTGCAAAAAATGCAAACAAGACTTGATTGAAAACGCAGAAAATGTTGAGTAAAAGAGCCAGTTTGAGAGCATGATTCCAGAATTGAATACTTATTGCGTCCAAACTGCAGAGCACGCATCCTATGAATATGTTAACAGATATCACAACGGAGAAGAGGCAGTCAAAGGCATGGAGCAGCGGAGCTTGCAGAGCAATCTCAATCTGATTTACCTCAAGCATACTAGTACTGTCAGATGCACTACAACTCTCCAGGAATGACAAATGAGCTGTAAATGTCTCAAAAGTATTAAAAATGCAAGAAGCACGAAAGTTCAAATATGACTTTGGATTTTGGGTTTTTTCTGAAAATCTTTGCACTTAATAAATTTTTTGTAATGTAAGAATGTACACAGGTGCAGAGGTGGGTGGGGGGGGGGGTCGTACTTTAGCATTACCACAGGGGGGGGTCGTATGTGGCAGCCTTGCGCCTGACCTCTTGCTCAACCCTGGTTGTAGCTCTTCAAGAGAGAAACAACTCACACATTACGCTTTCTGGAAAACATGTATTTTAAAAATTTTAAAAATCTTTTTCTAGAAAAACTTCGAAAATGGCCGCGTCACAGTGTCGCGGACAATAATTCTTCGAACGCGAAAATTTCTTTTTAAGTCTTTTTTTAGAGCAAAACAGAAGTTCTCCGAAACAGGTAAGCATACTATATCATACAGCTCATCGAGGACAACAATTAGGTAGTAGTTACTTTCAAAAAAACGCTTTAAATTGTTAGTTTGAATTTTGTTTTGCTTTTTCAAAAAAATAACTTCTATTTTTCTTTTTCAAAGCAAATTTATTCACATGGAAACCTATTCAAGGCATCCCAACAAAGCTGTTCGGATAAAGTAGACGCTCTTTACTATTCTTCATGCACCGGACGTGTGCTGTTAAGTTTCTCGGCTGAAAATGACTCCTGACAATGCGTGCACGTGACCCTACCTGCGCCTCACCACTGACTTGTACCGCTTTGCAGGCTGGTAGCTCAGCCGTCAGACAAATTGCGAGCCTGTATTTAGGCTCATTCGAAAGGGCGTGAATTCCTCGACATGGCGGTATGTAAACAACTTAAGTTTGAAAAATCACAGAGATTTGGCGGATAGGATGGAAAAGTGCAGTTTTAGAGGTGATCGGAGTGAAGGCTCTTATGAACACCAGAACAGTCTTAGAGCTTCGAAATGGACCTAGTGCAGAAAAATTGTCAGTTTTGAATTTCCAGGATGAAACTGGTAGCGGAAAGAGCTCTCTTCAACTTTAGCTGAAAAATGCTTAGACTACAACTGAAGCTGCCCTCTACCACCCCATCCGCCAAATTCTCGGATTGCTCAAACTGAACTTGTTTCCATATCATCGTGTAGAGGACGTCTCGTTCTTTCGAACGAGCCTGACTGCAGGCTCAAATATTGACTGCCGGCCGAGTTACAAGCCTGCAAAGCGGTACAAGTCAGTGGTGAGATGCAGGTAAGGTCATGTGCAAGTACTGCCAAGGGCCATTTTCAGCCAAGAAACTCATCAGCACATGTCCGATGCATAGGGGATGGCAAAGAGCATCTTTTATCCAGACGGCTTTGTCGGGATGTCTTGAACAGGTTTCGGTGTGAAGAAATTTGGCTTGATAAAGGAAATTAAAAGTTGTTTTTTGAAAAAAAACTAAAATAAAACTGAAGCTTGCGTTTTCTGGGGAAGCAACCATGACCAGTGTGTAGTTCTTGACGAGCTCTGTATATTAGTGTGTTTACCCGTCCGGATCTTGGTGTTTCCGCTTTAAAATGAGACTCGAAATAAAATTTTTGCGTTCGAAGAATTATTGTCCGCGACATTGTGACGCGGCCATTTTCTTTTAGAAAAAGATTCTTAAAATTTTTAGAACACATGTTTCTCAAAAAACTCAAAGTATGGATTGTAGATCTTGAAGAGCCTTATCACCTTGCAATTATTACATTTTTTCATTCTTGTTTTCCCTCTGAAAAAGAGCGATGAAAAAGGGAGGGAGGTTTGTACGCAACTTTTTGGCGGTCACTGTATGTCTGTATGTACGCATGTTCCGAATAGAAATTTTTAATTCTGAACCGATCCGGATTAAACCTGGCACACATACACTTTGGGGGCTTGCGCTCAGATAATCGCCGGGGCAGGCTGTCCGCAAACTCGCGCTTTTCTGCAAGCGGTCAGCAGAATTTTGGGGCGTGGCCAACCCTTCAGCGAGCGGTACTTCCTTTACTATCTAAGGTTCTGCCAGCGGGCAGCAACACAGAATTTTCTGCAGGCGCTCGTCAAAAATCTCTTTCAACGAGCTCTGGTCAGAATTTCAGCTGGCTCTTGGACGGTTTTTGAGCAATTTCGGGCGTAAGACGAGCAAAGGTGAGACTCTACATGGCAGAGGTGTCATTTATTTATTTTATTTATTTATTTATTTGATACGCACAAGGCGTGCCCAATACACAGAACGAAGCATCACACTAAACAAATAGGGACAAAAAAAAGAACAAAAACAGGCAAACACCCCACTGAATCAGCTCAAGTCCAGCCCGCAAAATATTTTCTAGGGATAGAAAGGGAGTGAGCTTGTCTAGACTGACTAATATGAAGTCATCACATGTATAGAGGTTCGATGGAGTCTGTCTCATGCCCCTGCTTTTAGCAAAAATGCTCTTATTCAAACATAAGCAAATGTATATGTGAAGCAGGTGTATTGGTAGTAATATTGGTAAAACCCGCCCAACCAAACTCTGGGGAGAGAGCAGAACTCCGGAAGAGGTTGCACAATGCAGAAGTTTCAAGCCCAAACAAGCTAACCCAAGCATCAATGGAAATGATGAGATGAGCCAGACCCAAACTAACGGGTGAGGTATAAAGTTGAAAAAAAGCCAACACAACGAATGGCAATGGTGTAAACCAAGGTCCAATGATTTGGTGGAATCTGATCCCTAAAATCCAACGCAAGACATTCATTTATTCGCATCCCTTCGATCATAGTCAGCCCAGAGTGAACACCAAACTGAGACAGGCGGAGTCGCGTGCCGTAGAACCATCAAACGAAAAGGACAGAGACATGCACAGCACAAAAGCAAGGATCTAGAAAAAGGAATTTGAGAGATGAAAAATAAAGTGGAAGCAAAAAGTGCAATAAAAAGCAAGCCTCAGAACCAAGCGTAGGAGAACCATAACAACCGTAAACCCTAAAATCCTGAACCCTAAAAAAAATCTGAACACAACATTGAAAACGCAACGCAATCAAAGAGAAGTATCACTGCTCAAAAATTGGGTTAAATCAGTTTTTTTCAATTTTTTCTTGAAGGCTACACCGCTACGCGCTGACACAATATCAACGGGTAAGCGCTGAAGCCGTCTTGCGCAGCGGAAGAACATGTAGTTAAATATTCCAGACTGATGTAGCTTAATAGGTTTATAATGCAGATTAAAGCCACCTAGCCTGGTACCAACTGGTTTGAAGATCCAGAATTTACTTGCTTTTAATTTTATTTCCATGCGAAGAATACGAAAACAAAAGACCAGGTCAGATATCATGCGTCTAATTCTGAGAGAAGTCAAGCCCAATTTATTAGAGCGTAGGTGACAGTCTGGCATATCAACTGGTGTTCCACCACACGCACGACGGAAAACCAAACGGGTAAAAGTGTGCTGAACTCTCTCAATTTTCATTATATCTTTTTTTCGGGAAGGAGTCCAAACTTGTGAACAATATTCGAGATGTGGAATAACATAAGCTTTGTATAATCGGGACAGTATCATCGGATTACGAGTTTGTATATTACGAAAGATTGTAAAGAGAGTGGTATATGCTTTGTTGACAACTGAATCAATATGCTTAGAGAATTTCAAATTACAGTCGATGATAACTCCCAGATCTTTCACATCTTGACAAGCAGCCATCTCGACTCCATCAATTTTATACGAAGTTGAGGAATGCTTACCAAGATGGAGGAAGGAACACTTTCTTGGGTTGAGAGAGAGTCCATTCTGAGAAGCCCAACCACACATTTTATCAATTGACGACTGCAATGCATCATGAACTGTGTCAAAATTATCTTCATCATAAGATGCATATATCTTCGTATCGTCTGCGTAGATTTGTACGCGTACATCCATTGTTTTTAAAGTATTAGGTAGGTCCAGAGTGTATACCAAAAATAACAAAGGAGATAGGACAGCTCCCTGAGGAACTCCACTGGGACAGGGAAATTTTGTTGAATATTTATGACCAATCTTTACCGTCATGCATCTATTGCTCAAGTAAGACTCGAACCAAGTTAATAGGTTTCCCGAAATTCCGATATTCTCTAGCTTGCAAAGAAGCAAACGATGAGGTATTCTATTAAAAGCC